CACACCTTCATGGGGCCGAGATGTCAGGAGGCCCAGGATTCTGTGGTTCCGGAGAAGCCGTGGAACTCCTCAAATACCTATGCGGGTGGGGGGGTAAGGGCATTCATTCATTCATTCATTCCATCAGATATTGATTGGGTGCCTGCCTTCTGCCAGGCCCCCCAAGAGGCTCTGGACGATGCCCAAAAATTGGCCTGATGGTGTGAGAGCAAGTGAGCCCCTCTTTCTTTGCCAGCCCAGGAGATGAGCTCTGCATTCCTGTCCAGCCATGTCCTTCTGGCATTCTCTCTCCTTCCTCTCAGCTCTAGGTCCTCAGTCCAGCTGGTGGGATGAGGATGGTAGGGATGACCCAGGCCCCCTACTCGCCACCCTCCTCAGCCCCCTCCCCGGGCCCTTCTCATCTTCCTGGCTTCTAAGCCTTGGCATCCTGGGGCTCAGACCCTGCCCCTCTTCTCTGCTCTGCTGCCTTGGTCCATTCATCAAGTCTCGTGGCTTTAGATATCATCTGCCTGCTGACAACAGGCACCCTCCTGTCTTGGGCCAGGACTTGTCCCGGGAGTCCCAGACTCCAGGGCATTTCCCCAGGGAGTCCCATAGGCCTCTCTGACTTAAGGTGGCTGACACTGAGCTTCCCATTCTCCCCAATCCCAGCCTTGGACTGAGCCTGACTCCTTCCTTCCCTGGGAAATCCACATGCAGACTTTCTGGAAATCCTATCTGCAGATCCTTGGGAATATTTTCCAGCTCTGACCCCTTCCCATCTCCTTCACTGCTTCTCCCTTGGTTCAGGACATCTTCTCTTTTCTAGATTATTGCCAGCAGGCTCCTAACTGTTCTGCCTGGTCCTGCCCTTGTCCTATTTCAGTCTCTTATGAATGTAGCAACCAGAGGGTCCTGTAGAATGTGAGACCCTCTGATGGCTTTCTGCAATACCCAAGCCCTTTCTATGACCTGCAGGGGCCTCTGGGCCTCTCTGCATTGGCTCTTCCTTGGCTGCCCCTTGCTCACTCTACTCTTGTCTTTCTGGCCTCAGACCTGTTCCTCAAACATTCCGGGCATGCTCCCATCTCAGGGCCTTTGTACTCGCTGTTCCCTCTGCCTGGAACATTCTCCCCTCGGCTTTCCATATGGCTCCCTCCCTCTCACCTCCTTCAGACCTTTACTCAAACTTCACAAGGAGGATTTTATTGACCCCCCACCCCCACTCTGGAATTTCCTATCCCCCTTTCCTGCTGGATTTTTCTCCATATCACTCCTCGTAGTTTAACAGACTATATAATTAACTTGGTCATTTCATTTATTATAGATTGCAGGTGCCCGGAGGGCCAGGTCTTTATTTTGTCTGCAGCCAAAAAGGACCCATGGCTCCTGGGGTGGCTCAGATCTTTTCTGGCCTCCTGAGTACCAGGACGCTCAGCCCCACAGAGCCGAGGAGAAGACACTCAGAGGGTTTTTCGAGAGCTATGGCTCTGCCAGGCGAGGTCCACCGTCCCACACTTCCACATGGTCAGGCCTCTGTCCATTCCAGAAGGGTGCTGGCCCTGTGTCAGGCTCTCAGCAGATCCTGCCCTTCGGTTGAGCAAGATCTGGTAGACTGTGTCCCTGTCCTTGGTAAGAGCAGGAGATCCAGCCGTCTTTCTGGGGCCCACCCTGCCTGTCCCACTGCCCCTCTGAGTCTGAGGAATGTTGGGTGTGAACGGTCAAAGCCAGAGTGTCTCTCTTTGCTGAGCCCCTTTCCACCCCCTTAGGTCGCCTGCCCCCACCCTGTCCCTCCTCACAGTTCTCTGCTGTCCTTTGGAAACCCAGCAGGGTCCTGGCCCGGGGCCCACCCCAATGGCCTGGCCACCCCACTCCTCTCAGCTCTGTCTCCCAAACAGCCCCTCACTTCTCGCCATCCCCACAGCTAACACTCTGGTCCAACGGCCATAGCCTCTCATCAGGATGTCCAGGATGTCCGCAACAGCCCCGACTAGCTTCCCCGCCTCCCCAGCCAGCAGCCAGAACTGACCTTCCAAATCAGTGTCCCCTGCTCGTGGTTCCCATCACACTTAGAATGAGATCCGATTTCTTCCCAACATGACTGAGCTCCTCAGCTACCTCTCCGACCTCATGCTGTGGGATGCTCTCCCTTCGTGCCCTGTGCTCAGCCAGTCCGGCCTCCCCGCTGACCCCCAAACTCCCCTTCTCTGCCCTGCCTTCGTAAGGCCTTTGCCCTTTTGCCAGTCCCTTCTCAGGGATGTGTTCCCCCAAATCATCTTAGCTCCTTCCTCTTCTTCATTTAGAGAAGCTGTCCTACCTCATCTAGGTGACACCCCCCTGCCCTCCACCCGCCCCCTCACAGCTCTGAAACCATCTGAGGGGGTTATTCCTGCTCCCGCTCCCTGCTTGCTCCCTTCACTAGCGTATCATGTTCACAGAGGGGCCAGCATTGTTTGTTCCACCCTTGGATCCCCTGTACTGAGACAACAGTGTCCTGCACGGAGTGAGTGCTTACTGAATGTCTCATTAGTAAATGAGTGAATGCTTCTAGAGGCCAAGTCTCATTCCTTCTGGAATGATCTCTGGTTTGGGTTAGGAGCCAGGCACCCTCAGCACCACATGCTTTCTTCTAACCCTGCCTGCGTCATGGCATACGTGCTACCTTCCTGGGACTGTTTCTAGACAGTGAGCCCCTCTCCTCCCCTCCCACGTGGCAGGCTCACAGTGAGGATGGGTGTAACAGACCCGAAATGGGAGCTGGCTCAGGCCCCGCCCACCAGCAGTAGCCCCGCCCACCCCAGGCACAGCCCCGCCCACCTCCCTGTGGGAGAAGTGCTCCCACCTCTGGGAGAAGCTCCATCCACCTCCCTGGGCCTTAGCTCCACCCACTTTAGTGGGCCTAGGGATCCTTCTAGAAGAATGATCCCGGCCTTCCAGCTTCTCTAGCCAACCAGGTTAGGGCTTAATAAAAATGAGTGAATCTAATTAGGATTAGAATCTATTAGAGAATGATAGGAACTCACATCTTGCAACTTTCAAAAATTACCTTTGTTGTTTAGCCCAAGATTAGCATATTATAGATCAGGGGTCAGCAAACCATGCCAAATGCAGCCTGCTGCCTGTTTTTGTAAATGAAGTTAAGTTTCCTTGGAGCATCTGTCTATACTCCAAGGACGGCCTTGGGTAGTTGGGAGAGAGGCTGTACGGCCCACAAAACCTAATATATTTACTGTCTGGCCCTTTATACAAAAAGTTTGCCAACTCTTGTTACAAATACTCAAAAAAATACTGTTGGATTAAGTAGGCTTAAATCAGAGCCTTGGAATCCTGCCCTGTTAACACCACCAGTTCGAGTCTTTTGTCCAGGGGCACCCAAATGAACTAAACACTCTAAGCATTTCTCTCTTTAATAATAAGGAGATGGAGGTATAGAGTAGGTAGAAATAGCCACTGAAGAATCCTGTATCTGTCCTTTAGTTAACAGACAACATTTATGGAGCACCTACTCTATTCCAGAAGCTGTTTGGGACACAGCCATGAAGGAGACAAAGTTCCTACGCCCACCCCTTGGTGGCTAGCTGATTAGGTCCTCACTGCGCTCAACCAGTGGGGCTCCCGGTGTGAGGCTGAGCTCTGGTCCCCCACTTCTACCTCCACCAGCAGGCTGCGTCTGTGCCATGCCCGACTCCCGGGGCCAGCTGCCTGGGGCCACAGACGGCACGCCATTCGTTCCCCTCAATTTTCTCAGCCTGCCCTTATGCCACCTCCCACCCCCCAGCTCCTTCAAGAGTCCCAACATGGTAAGGGGGGGAGGACGATCAAACAGTCTTTTAGGAATTCCATTTAAGAGCAGTGTCTTTCGGGAATTCGAAAAAGGAAATGATGAGCACCGTAAGATACTTTTCTCCCTTTAAAAAGAAATCTGTAAATTACATCGTGTTTCCTTCCTTTCTCCTCCTCGCTGCCTGGCTGACTTCATGTTCTGTGTGCTTTTCAATGAAACCAGGTTGATTCCCGGCTGACCCGGGAGTTGGCTTTGATGTGAGGAGTAGTTATTGAAAGAGACAGGGTGATCCATGTGATGAAATGCCTCCTACACTTTCCATAAAAGTGAACGGAGGGTGATGCTAGCAGTTCTGCTGTGGGGGATGGGAAGGAAGGGAGGCATCAGCGGCCTCTGAGCAGCTGGGAAGGGCACTGGGGGCGGCCGGTGGGCATGCTCCTGGGAAGAGAGCAAACCTCTTCTGGAAGAGCCTCCTGAGAGCCCGGAGCAGAGCTTTCAACCACTTCTGCTCGGGTGGCTTTGCTGTCCCAGGCATCAAGGACCCTCAGCCCCTCTCATGGAAATCCCTTTCTCAGGGAGCATTTTACCTTGTTAGTTTTTGCTGATTCTTGAGAAATTTTCTTTGGGACTCAAAATGCTTTCTCTGATAATATGCCTCAGGTGGATTTAAGGTCACCACTCTTACTTCAAGATTTAACCTTGACTTGATTGTGGGGGAAGAAAAATAAATCTCACGTATTGTCTCAGGAGAAGTTCCAGTCTGACACTGCCTGATGAGTTTCTTCATTCAGTTATTCAAGAACTATTTACTGAGCACTTACTGTGTGCAGGGCACTGGGCTGGGAATAAGAACAAGTGGACAAGATAAGGGAGGGTCCCAAGACCGCCAGGGAGCTGTTTACACAAATAGACAAGGACCCCACAAATTGATAAAGCTGCTGTGCTCTGGGAACCCATGCAGGGGCACGGAGGACTTCCTGTAGGAGGTGATGTTTCAGCCTGCGACCTGGAGGATTGGTAGTGGTTTATCAGACAAAGGGGGAGGGAAGAGGGTTGTAGGCAGAGGGAACAGCATGCATGAAGGTTTGGCCTCCGGACAGGAGGAAAGGAGGGAGGTTCAGCTTTTTCCTGCCCTCTGCTGAGACAGGGATCTCTAGATAGTCCTGGCCTTTGGTGCTCCGGAGGTTGGATGGACAGGACCCACCCCCAGAAGGGAGAAAAAATTGCATGCACTCACGGAGGAAATATTCTGCTGTGTCAGCTTCGTAATCTGCATCCTCTGGGAAGTGATCGATTTGCTTGCAGAGACCTTTGAAGTTCCCTGGAAAACAAGAGGAGAAAGGACACTTGAAACATCAGAGTTTCCAGGGACTCAGCACCCACCGGCCTCTTGCTGATTTCTCGTCCTTCTGAAGCTGGCTCAGCCCTCTCCCTGGCCCCTGAAGGAAGGTATCGCTTTGTCTGTTTGGACATCTGCCTGGTGAATCAAAACACACACACCTGCGGTGCCGCGGAGAGGATCTAAGGCCTAAGACTTCAAAACCCAGCCTTCCATCCCTGCACCGAGGCTTCTGAAGATTAGCTGAAGCTTGGTGGGCAGCAGAGGTTTGGCTCGGGGCTGGGGACTGCCGCCCGAGGAGGAGGCTGATGAACGGGTCAGTCCATCCGCCTCTGTGCCCCGGCTCTGCTGGGAGTCATCTCGCATTTTGCGTGGCAGAGAGCAGATCGCTCTGCAAAGAAGGCAGACCCCACGTGGATGCTGACAAACGTTCCCACGGCCCTTAAATGAGCTTGCAAAAACGCCTTCCCATCTGCTGTGCCTGGGATGTGCTGTGCCCAGCCCCCAGCTGTGCTGAAATGCTCCCGGGCTGGGGGCAGGGAAGAGGTTGAGCCCCCCCCGGGGCTTGGGCCCTCTGCCAGGCTCCATGAATTTGGCTTTACCACAGGCCTGTGAGAGGGGTATTATCTCCTCCATTATACAGAGGAAGAAACTGAGGCTCAGGGAGGCTACTTGATCCAAGTAAGTACTCATGGTCAGCAAATGATGGAAGCAGGGCTCAAATGGAGGCCTGTTGACTCTAAATCTTTCCGGGGGTGATGGCTGAGAAGGTGAACAGCGGCTCAGGTGAAAACCCAACGTCACAGCCGTCGGCCCCCCACCGCCCCGGCCAGCGACCACTAAGTGAATGAGCCAACTAGTGAATGTGATCTCCTTAAGGACCGATGCGTGGAATAGAGCTTGTGAGCTGGTCGGCTTCGTGACAGCAGAAACTTCCGTGTGTTTCACACACCGTTGTACCCCCGGACCAGCCCAGCTATAGCCCATGTTGTGGAACTTTCTCTGAATGCGCAAATAACCCACCCCGTGCTAGGAGACGTGGCAGCTCCCGTGGCTGGGCCGCCCGAAGCTGGCACATCGGGAAAAGTGCTCGGGGGCATCCTTGTGAGGGAGAATTGGACGCTGACTATATTCAGCCACTGACATTTGGGAATTTTCTGTGACAGGAGCTAATATAACCTAATTAATACAGTCCTCAGTATGTGTTAGCAATTTATTTTCCTATAGAGTGCTGAGCCTTCAGTAGATTTTCTTGTGTCCTACAGATATTATTTAGGAATTTTAAGGCATTCTTACATGTCGTATACACCTGCTTATTATAGGATACAGGTGTACGTACATAAAGTTAGGCGTTTTAGACATTTCTAGCTCTTATATGTTACAGAGAAGGTGGTTGACCCCCCATTCGCTGTCTCTGCACCAAATTCACCCCCTTTCCTGACTTCTGCAAGAAAAACCATTCTCCAGAGCTTATGGGGACTTCTGGTAACATCACTGAAGCTTGGTGGGGTCTCAGGAGCACAGTGGTTCACTGGAAATGCTCCCCTGGGGCTTGCTTCCTGTCTAAGTGTTCTGGGCGCTTCCCCTTCTTGCTCACCCACCCCACCTCTCGGCCCTGCCCTCGAGAATTCACAGGGGTCCCTCTAGGACTTCTCCCCTCGTCCCACCACACACCCTTCTCTCCTGAGAAGTCTTCGTTTCTGCTGCTAAGAGGCTAAAATATCCTCCCTATTGTTCAAATGACAAATCAGTGTATTTGCGAAGCACTTTCATTTTCTCTCAATTCAATCTGACAAATACTTCGTCGGTGCCAACCCGGTGCCGTGCATCTTTATAAGGGCTCTGTGTAGGCGGTGAGGTGTAGAGCACGGTACAGACGTGCCCCGAGGCTCCTCACAAATCCTGGACAGTGTGCAACCCCAGACCAAGGGCTTGTGAGTGGTGCCTCCACGTCTCTCTTCTAAGGGCCCCGCGCTTCGTGCTGGCGGCCCACACACCCTACCTTGCAGCCTGACCTCTCCTCTGCACGAGCCGCACCCAGCCCTTCTCAGACCGTGGGCTCCCAGTGCGGCGCCCGGCGCAGAGCAAGGGCTCAAGAGATGCTATGGGGAGGCTGTGTGAAGTCACCAGCGGCCCAGTCTCTCCTGTGAGGGCCAGACCTGGTATCACCTGCCTATCTGATATGTCCTGGTAGATGTGTTAAAGGCACTGTACATTCAGCGGGTCCAAACCTGAACTCGGGATCTTTCTCCCTCCAGCCTGGCCTTCTGGAGGCACCAACCAGCTCGGGGAATGTCCATCCGTCGCTGCCTGTGTAAGCCTGAGCCCACCTGTCACAGTCTCCTCCTCACGGCGGGCTCCATCCCTCAGGACGTGCTGTCTGCACTAGCTCTCGGGAGCTCTCAAAACGGTCAGTTTCTCGCCATTGGCAGCAACACCCATGGCCAGGCCACCATCCTGGCTTCCCTGCATGACTGTTGTGGCCTCCCCACTGGTCATTTTGCACCCACCTTTATCCCTCCCTACAGAGTAATCATAGTGATCCTTTGAAAATGCCAATCTGATCAAGCCGCCTCTAGCTGGAAACACTCAACAGCTTCCCAGGGCTCTAGGGGAAGCTTAGCATCTTTAAGAGGCCTGACCCTGACCTCTGCCTGGTCTTATTTCCCGCCTACCTCCCTGTGTCCGCGCACAGGCCAACTCAGCCGTCCTTCGTGCATGCTCCCTCCTACCACAGGACCTTTGCACGTGCTGGTCTGGCTGCTTGAGCCCCCACCACATCCTTTGCTGTCTCCTTCCCTCAGCCTCCCCCTGCCCCCCTGCACTGTGCTAGTGGGGTATCTGCTGCTCTGCTGTCCATTCTGTGTTGGGGGGGAGATGTTAAGGCGAGTGATGGTGGTGGGAATGTTCTAGTAGAGAGGGAAGACGTGATGACCTGAGAGAGGAGGGAGCAATGCAGGAGCAATGTGAGAGGGGGATGAGGTCCACACAAGTGCAAGGGTGGCGTCGTATGGTGGTGTGTCTGCTGCAGCAGGAGGGAAGGTGCCACTGTGGGTGTGGGTGCAGGGGAGGGGTAGACATGGTGGGAGCCCTGATGCTTCTCTTCTGGTTGTTTCCATTTTTTTTTTGATGAGATGGGAAGCAGGATCATGGCCGGAGCACGAGGAAGGGGAAGCAGGGTTGGAGATTTGAGAATAGAGGAAGGGAGTGAGATTTTTCTCCCTGAGATGGGAAGAGAGAATGGACCAAGCCGGAGACATGAAGCATGTGTGTCTGGGCCTTGAAGGTCCCTTTGAGATTCTCTGGTTTTCTCCGGCTACATTTAGGGTGTGCCTGAGTCTGGCCGGAGGGTTGCCTTTAACCAGGGTGGGAGTCTGTGTGATGAACACGAGAGCAGGGGTAGGGGAGGCAGTGATTATGAAGATGGGTCAGACTCTAAGCTGGGGAAGTGGAGAGGTGGTGGGGTTAATGCATTGGAAGCCTAGGGTGGGGGGGTCAAGGAATGTCGGAGTGGGGGGCTCATGGGAGTGAGCTGGAAGGCTGGGGCATGGGAGTCAGAAAGTGGGTGCTAAGGATTGAGATTGTTGAGGGGTGTGGTGGTTGGTCATGTCAGGGTCAAGGGTAAGACCATGAACTGGGTTGGCTAAGGTCGGATGGAGGTAGGGATGACATTCTAAGTATCTAGCAACCGGAAAGATCATCCCAATTAACACAGAAGACAAAAACTACTGTTTACATGCAATCAAGTATGTATTAGGAAACTGCTTACCAATTTAAGGTTGATATGCAAAGGATTCATCACATTATTCTGATAAACCCCAAACCATCAGTTGGTTTTTAGAAACTATTTGTGTGAGGCCCTTTCAAGCTGAATGATGGTCCTGTCTGGACCATGGTTTGACACAGGGAACCATACCAGAACCTTGCAACACTTCTCTGTTAGAATAAGACTTGTTTTGTCTCAGTGAGTACAGAATTCTCTCCTACACTGTCCCATGCCATACACTTCTCCCAGAAGGTAGCCCTCCATCCTGGGCAACCCCAGAGGTGGGGAGGGATGCTCCTGGGGATGGTGGAGTGGGGGGTGGGGAGGAGAAAAGCGGGTACCTCAGAGGTAGTTCTGTTGTGGGCGGTGGAGTGTGCACCCCGCCTAGCTGTAGTAAGGTTCTGTTCTTCTGGGGCCCTGGCCCACCCCCGAGGAGGCAGATGTGCCTGGGCTGGGCCCACAGCTCGGAGAGCTGCCGGGCCTGGGGCGCAGAGGAGATGGGGCCTCAGTCCTGGCCCCTCCCTGCTCTGTCTGCCACAGCCAGGAGCCACCCCTGCCCAGCCCTCTTCCTGCACTTTGTGGGGCTGATTGGTATGCGGGATTTCAGCAGTTACCAGCCAGCGAGGCAGGACTGGTATGTGCTGGCTGAGCAAGGTGGGCAAGGCCAGGTACGGGGGGCGCTGTCTGCCTGATTGTGAACCCCAAGAGGGCTGCACGGTGCCCTTGGAGAATGAGGCAGGCCAATGCTTCTTCACTCCTCCAAGAATGAGGGGGATCCCCACGTTGAGAATGGGCAGGAAACAGTCAGGGAAGAGAAGGCTGGGTGAGTTTCAGAGAGGCAGGGCTTTAGGGAAGAGGCAGTGAAGAGCAGGGAGGGTCCTACCTCCTCAAGGGTGTGGGTGATAAAACACCCCCTGTGGGGCACCTGGGTGGCTCAGATGGTTGAGCGTCTGCCTTCGGCTCAGGTCATGATCCCGGGGTCCTGGGATCGAGTTCCGCATCGGGCTCCCTGCTCCTTGGGAGCCTGCTTCTCCCTCTGCTTCTCTCTCTCTCTCTCCCTCTCCCTCTCTCTCTCCCTCTGTCTCTCATGAATAAATAAATAAAATCTTTAAAAAAATAAATAAAACACCCCCTGTGAAGGATCGCAAGGGGGTGGTGTCCTCAAGGGACAGCCGGGTTTCTATCAGAGTGAGCAGAAAAGAGGTTAGGAATGTGG